GACAGTGTCACATTAGAGGAAGTGAAGTACAACAGCCACGTGCTATCATGTGAGCACGTGAATGCCACATTCAAACCCAAAAGAGAATAAGGAAGCTTTGCACCTTAAAGGCAGGATGTAGACCTAATATGAGTCCAGTGTTGTGTCGTTTACAGTCCTTATTAAAATGCAGATGAACAGGATGAACAGGCCCATCAAAGCCTGGCGTCTTCCACATAAACTCACCGTCACAAAAGAAGACTTATACTTTAAAGGATGAGAAACGGGCACGGATGAGTTTTGGCAGGAGGACTAGTAAAGAGTGATAAAGGCCCTCTGTGAGCAGCGAGCCAGCCTTTCTCCTCCCTGCTGCCTCAGGTTTTCTGCTGACTCAGACACTTTTAGGGGGGAAAAGGAGAAAAAGGATAACAGAGAAAACAGATGTGGTCTCTGGAGAGAGAAGGAGACAAAGAGGAGAAGGCAAGGAGGTGAAGAGCAGGGCTGTAAGGAGTTGGACACATAACACACTGCCATAACTCAGCTCACACACACACACACACACACACACACACACACACACACACACACACACACACACACACACACACACACACACACACACACACACACACACACACACACACACACACCACACACACACACACACACACACACACACACACACACACACACACACACACACACACACACACACACACACCACACACACACACACACACACACACACACACACACACACACACACACACACACACACACACACACACACACACACACACACACACACACACACACACACACACACACACACACACACACACACACACACACACACACAGGAGCTTCACTCGAGGGGAAAGAGTTCCTCAAAGCCCAATAAGTCATTCATCACAGCTGGGAGTAGAAGAGAGTACATTTAATTAGAGTGAAGATTAGAGCGTGACAAACTGAGTCCCTGCTCCTGTCCATGAAGTGCATTTACAGTTAGCTTCAGATGTTGACACACACACGTACACTATATCTCTGGTATGATCTATATTGTAAGAAAATACTGTTTGTTGAAGTACGCAAACTTTGAGCATTGTTTATGAGTGATCTCAGAAATGAAACCGAAGGCACCTGATGGCCACGGGCGGTGTCTGCTTATGGGAAGTTATAAATGGAGATGTAAATCCTTTTTTCAAATGAGGGAAGCATCACGAACATACCAGACATACCAGCCTTACGCGACTGGATTTCCTGTAATCAGGTGATGTGTGGGAAAACGAAACATCTGTAGTTTCACTCTTTTTTTTAAGCGTTTCTAGAAAAGGAAACGTGTGGCGCTGACAAGACGTCATAGGCTTCATCAAGAGCAGTTCGAGTCAGAAATGGGAAGGAAGCAATGCCAGCAGCGACCAACCACACAGCAGCAATTGGTTTCACAGAAACGACAAGCTGACGCCGCGCAGCTCTGTTCTCAAACGCATCGAGGAGGTGGAGACAGAAAACAGCAGCGTCACCCTCCATGCTGTCATGGCTGCAGCAGATAAGCAAGTTGTGTCAGGACAGGAGACCCTGGCTCCCACCCAGACGGCTCACTCTGATAGCAGGACACAAATATATTCAGGGTGCCTCGTAAACGCCATTCAGTTTCATGAAGGACACCTAGAACACATGATGCGTGATGTCCACGGGTAATGGACATGTTTGGACAGGGCTGGGAGATAATTCAATATGATGATTTATCCTGTTTCAATTAATGGAGATATCAAAGTCTCTAGATAAAGTGATACTCAATGAATTTGTCTGATTTGGTAATAACAAGCTCATACTGACTACAGACAAATTTAATATTTTGAGGGAATATTTTTTGGAGATTACTTTAATTTAAAGCTCAGTTGAATTTTATTCAAAAACTGGACACAATTTAAATCAAATTGCATCTTAATTTCATTACACTATAGTTTCTGTTCCTGCATGTAGACATAGTCAATGTTTAGCTAGA